GCTCTCGTGACCGCGTATTTCGGGCGGAACTCCAGTCTTGCGCTAAAACGAGAAGAAGGCGTGAGAAGAGAGAGAGAGAGAGAGAGAGAGAGAGAGAGAGCACTGAGTGGTCACCCATTGCTTTGAGTCCAACCGCCGGACGCTTTGGCGCCGATATCGACGACGTTTGCGTTCATTCAGCGGCCGTTTGGCGCGTCTCTGGCCTTCAGTACAGACGACGAGCAAAACGTGTAGACATTCGACGCCTAATTGGAGGCAAAGTTTGGAACAGAGTTTTGGCGCAAAACATGCGATTGCATCGAATCGTGAGAAAGAGAGAAACGCTTTCGAAATAAACTTATTTTCAGTTCTTTTCACTGTTTTTCACGAAAACACACTTTTCTTCAATGATAACAGAAAACAGATGTGAAGGAGAAGAGAGCTTTTGGGCCCTTTTGTGAGCGTCAAGTCGTGTTGTGTGTCAGCACTGAAATGGCGGCAAAAGAGTCCACTTTCGGAGCGAAACACGAGTCGAGAGGACTTTGACTGCAATGGACTCTTGCGGTGGAAATGCGGACAAAACGCGTGTTTCTTCGGACAGAGAGAGAGAGAGAGAGAGAGAGAGAGAGAGAGAGCGGAGAAGAGGCGACAATAAGGACGACAATATAAGGCCAGAAAAGGGCCCAAAAGTGTTGAGATAACGAGTGTTATGTTATTGAAGTGAAAGTCAGTGCAAGACATGCGCCGTGCGGTTAAAGACGACTCTCGTGGTGACGAAATCGCAACACAAGACCTCTCGCGACGACATTTTGGTGGAAATGTTGATCCCAAGAGGGCTCGCGCCTCAACACTGCGTTCAGCTCGAGTTGGGCGACGACTCGCGCCTCCACTACAGAGGCGAAGGCAACACAGCATTGGTTGTGGCCGTCAGTGACGTCAGTGACGTCATCGCCGAGCAGACCGTCATTCGTCTCTTCAAACAGACGCCGGACACGCCTTGCGAGCGATCGGCCAATCGGATCGCAAGACAGATCCAGTTCGTCGAGAGCGTCGTCGCGCGCGCCCTCAGCCCCGCCTTCCACTGTCCGCCGCGTCTCGCGATCCTCTCGGAAGACCAGATCCGCGCCATCGACCGTCTCGTGCGCGACAAACGGCCGCGTGAGTGACCGGATGTGTTGAGAGCAGTCATAATGCGTTTCTCCCGTTCTTAGGCTTCCGTCTCGCGAAAGGGATCGTCACGTGTGGCGACACTTACGCCCTTCTGCTCGAAGACTACTGTTGGTTTCCGACTAGTCTTCGGAGGAGAGGATTCGCGACCGAAGGACCGGTAGTTTGCGTCGAAATTAAGCCGAAACAGGGATTCCTTCCCAAACCGGAAGTGCTCACCGATGAACTCAAAGTCAAGGCTCGCGTTTGTCGCTATTGTTTGAAGCAATTCCGCAAAGTATTCAATTTCTCTCTCTTTACACGCTTTTAACGCCTTTCCCTCCTTTTAGCTGTCGAAGCGCTCGATCGCGCGCCGCTCGCAATACTGTCCCCTCGATCTGTTCAGCGGATGTCCGAACAGAACGCAGACGGCGTTGAGAGCGCTCGCAGACGACCCGCAGAACAACTTCCGCGTCTTTCGCGACGGGCGTCACGTGTTCGGTGACGACACCAACTCCGCCCTCCCAAGCGTTTTGCGCGACTTTTGCGGCCAATCGGAGGCCGACGTCTTGCCCGCCCTCTGCCGACTGCTGGCCAATGCGCTCGCTCTGCGCGTTGACGTCAACCGGAAACGCGCGCCAATGAGAGCGCCGGCCGAGGAGTGCGCGCTCCACCCCCACCGCTGTGCGTGCAATGGGGGTGGAGAGCACGCGCTGGCCGTGGGCTCCGTTCTGGAGGCCGTTCTTTGGGCGCAACGCTTGGATTGCGTGGACTCGAAGTTGGCCTCAGAAATGCTGCGAACGATGAGTGAAAAGGAAAACAACAATTTCTCGCACTTCTCGTGTCCGCCGAACGCCAAAGAACTCGTTCGCGAAGACGTTCCGCACGAGTCGGAGCTCGAGTCCCTCCAGAGAAAGGTTTGTCCGAAGAAGGCGTCTTTCCCTGACTAACACTCCTGTCACGTGACAGGTCTACCAGTTTCTCGTGTCGTTGACGGCGAAGGACTGCTCCGTAATGATCGCAATGCAGAGACTGTGCGCCGAAGAGGACGTCTCTCGAGTTCCCGAATGCCATCTGTTGTCGGACTTCGGGAACAAGTATTTGGTTTCGATTCGCGTCACGGATTTGGACGAAAGGGAGCCGAAGAAGATCGAGAGGACGCTTCTGAAGGACCGCCGAATGATTAGAGCCTATAATAGCGCGCAAAGCCTGTTGTGAAGCCTTTGTTTACTAGTCTTTGAAATTTTAAAGTCACTTAATATTGAGTTTTATTTATTCTTAAAACCATTTTATTCTCGTTTTTTCAATGAAATCCTATTTTTATACCAAAAATTGTGATTTTCTCCCATTTTTTGCTTTGATTTTAGTTTTGATTAAAAGTTTATCCAATTTTAACTCCCTTTCCGTCCGCTGCCATCCATTGGCGC